CCAATGCGAGTGTGAAGCCTGTCGGGCGAGTGCAAATCGTGGATCACTCGCCCGGTTTGGCGAGTGGAATTTTCATTCAGTTCATTAAAAAAATGAAACCGACTGTTTTTGAAAAAATATAAAACCTACCAGTACTTTTTACATTCTGGAAGCTTAAGAAACCTAGTACATACACACACATTTGCGTTTCGGATACGCACGAAGCCATTTGATATATAAATACATCAAACGGCTTCTATTATAACCACATGAAGTAGATAATCATAGTCATGTTACTGCTGGTCATAAACAAATAGTGCCGCTGAGTCTGAAGGCAACTATAGCGACCCGACTGGCGACCCAAACTATATCTACTCACGGGTTACCACGAAGTTTACACACAAAGTAAGAAATTTAAGGTTTATTTATCAATTAAACTGATTTGAAATTGAAGGTAAGAGTCTTTTTCCTTTGAAGCTACTTAGTTTTGGAGAATCCATCAACACAATAATTATAAATATGCGATTGACAACACCTCACTTTGTTATTCTCCAAGACGGAACTCACCGCTAATCTTTTTTTAAAAATTTGGAGATATCTTCCCGGAGTATCGATTCCCAACAAAAAGGATGCAAAAGAAACTCCTCAAAAGGCAGATTCCAGAGAGTATGAGAAGACGAGATCGAGGAAATTTTCTTCGAAATGGCAGGTTGGCCGGCCTTGGTTAAAAGATGATGAAAACGGCATGACATGTGAGTGGTGTGTGGAAAACAAACAAACCTTTATTTCACAGAGCGTTTTGACTTCGAGTAAATTCATAGATGGCTGCTCTAGCTATAAGACAGAATCTATCGCCCATCACGAAAACAGTGCAGCTCATAAGCTCGCTAGCCAGTGCCACAAGGCAAACAAAATCCAGAAAAAAACCCCCGCATATTTAGCGAGGCAACAGTTGCTAAACCAGTACAGCGGGAAATTGAGGTTGAGGTTGAGGCTCGTGCAGTTGCCAAGCATAAGAAATCAATTTAAGGTTACAACTGGCTTTGCGATCTAGATGAGGCAAAAGGACTGACACTGGGTAGAACATATCACAACATCAACGCCTGTACGACTTTCATAAAATACATCGCAACAACGGCTAAGGATCAAGTTGCTGACGAAATAAAGAAACGGAAATTCGTGAGCGTAACTTCAGATGGTGCCACAGATGCCAGCATCATAGAGCAAGAAATTTTATTTGTGCGCTATAGCAGCAAAGGCGAACCAGTCGCCAAATTTGCAGGTTTAAGGCAGCCTGTCAGCCCAGATGTCACTAGTTTATTTCAAGCCATCATGGAAGCCCTTGAGGATGTTGGACTAAATAAGGAAGAGTTGGAGAAGAAATTGGTGGGGTTTGGTTGTGATGGAGCTTCCGTTATGGGTGGGAAAAAGGGGGGCGTTTCAGCATATTGTTAGAATTATTTTCTCTAACACTCGTTGTTGACTGGTGGAACCTTCTTTATTTGCTTCTCTCTTTAAGTTGTTACAGTAGGGACTAGCTTCAATCTAACTAGGAAAACTAGAGTCTCCGCTTATAAAGGTGTTACTGCGGATGACATTTCTAAGCCGTCAATCTTCTTGTGTCGCCATCGTACCATCTCAACCAGCGAATCACGCTTGACTACGTATTATAGTTCCCACACACTGAGTAAGCACTCAGGGTTGTCTACGCAGTTACAAAATCAATTTTTTTCCTAATTTTCATATCTTTACGGTTGAGATCGGCCAGAACAGAAACGAGATCGTCAATATAAAAATTACAAATAACCTTGGTGTAGGGTATTATTTATAGCTGAAAGTGTATTTTTAAGAGCAAATCACCTTTAAAGATTGTTACATAACAACATCTTGGTCACAAGAGTTAAAGAAGAAGGGGGCTCAGAAGTACCGCCCCCAAATTGCTTCTTGTTGCGAAAACATGAGGGACATCACCTCTTTACCCTTAAATTACCTCTGGGAACACGAAGGCGTCGAACGCGACATATTACCAGGGAGATTTACTCTTCCTGGACTAACAAATTAACTTATTTAAGAACACGGCCTATCACGAGTTCCATGTCAACTTCACGATTACAACGAAGAAAACGTGATTAAACTCAACCTTTAAGATAAGACCACCAAGAAGGCGTACGAAGTAATCAACCTGCCCTTTTTATAATTTACTTTAAATGACTTAGAATAATATAATATTTCCATTTCTTTTCCTTCTAACACCAATACAGAAAACCCTTACGATATTATAAATTAACTATAATTGTAATTTTATCATTTAACAATATTTAACCCGTTTACAGCCCAATTGCATCACCGTGCATTGTTTTGCTCACCGACTGGAGCTTGCATTCAAGGATGCAGTAAAAGAAAACCGTCTCTATCATAACTGTATTGTTCTTCTGATGGGCTTGTACCAGTCCAAAACAGCGCCAAAGTCTGAAGCAATCCTTTTTGAGCCTAAAGCAGTCCTCTCTCATGCCAGCCCGCGTTGGTGGCACAAGATGGGCGGGACACATGGTGCTGGCCATTGAGAATTTTGTTAAAGGGTATCCTGCAATTCGTGCTCAGCTTGAAATTTGTATCACACAGAAGGTAAGAAAACATTGTTCCTAAACATTAATACTGTCATATGCAACAAACAGTAGAGACGTAAACCATTTTTAGCCCACAGATATTCATGATTTCTTTAGTAATACAACAAACAATTTGACCAGAAATATTCTTCAGTTTCAATGTCATAATATATCTCAATTTTCCATGGCTTTTTAGGGAAATGCCCAAAAGAATTCCAGGGGTTACCTAAAACTTATGAAGCGGCCTGATGTGATTGCATATCTCCATCTGCTGCTGGATGTCCTTTCCCCTCTACGACTTCTGTCTCTCACCCTGCAGTCTAACCAGACAACTTTAGCAGACGTTGGCGAGAAGATTGATGTCGCTAAAGATGTTATCAGCTCATTCAAGGAAAGGTACGAATGTCTAACATTTTTGAGGCTTCTAGTGTTAATTGCTTAAACCTTTTAATTTTTTCCAGCAATGGTCCAAGACTAAAACAGTTTTTCAGAGACCATGATCCTGAGGCCTCGACTTACAGGGGTAGGCCAATGAGTGGCAACATTTCAGCGGGAAATTTCCATGCAACGAGTACCAAACGGTTGACTTAGGGTATCTTGGCCACTTTAAAGGCAAGGTTTGCTGACGTTTCGAAGGATGTCGTAGCTGCAACCCGGATAGCAAATTTCAAACAGTGGCCCTTGTATTCTAAAAAGGATGACGTTACAGGTGAAGACACAAAAATATATCCAATAAAAAGTTTTTATTTTGCCAAATACAAAGTGAATAAAGAAGGTCCTAATATCTTATTAATTTTTATTATTATCACAGCTTTTGGAATTAAAGAACTCCAGGTCCTCTACCAGCACTTTGGAGGGGTGCTTCGACATGCGGAAATTGACTGTGAGCGGGTGAAACTGGAATGGGTGATGCTCAAATCCCATCTTTATAACGAGTCGTGAACATAAGTTTCATAAAGTGAGTTTCACCATGCATCGATCTTCAATATTTATGTTCGTGTGATATTTTTTAATTATCTTTTTAGGTCCAAAAAACACATTCAAGAACTCACATGGCCCGAAGTTCACAGCCTTTATCACGAAAGCCATGAAAACGTCCTTGCAGTTCTTCTGGAAATGAACGGGGCTTTAGTCGGATGAAACTTACGAAGACTAGCATCCGAAGCAGACTGAGCAATGCGAATCTCAATAATTCAATGGCAATTCAGATGTTAACGCCTGGTGTGAAGGAGTTTGATCCAGACCAAGCCATAAACAAATGGACGATGGGTGGAAAGAGGGAAAGAAGACCAATCTTCAATGAAGGCAGTTCAAGAAAGCGAGCTAGATTAGAGTCAAATGTTAACCTTTCAGACCTAGGATCCGTGGAAGTTGTGAAACATACCGCCGCCATTCTCGAACCAGCAGCTCAACAGAACATACCTGTTGAACAAGACGAGGAGGCCGAGGAGGAAGTCATCTTCAGTGAAGAGAGGGATGACGATCTCGGAGATGACGACGAAGGAGTGGTGTCTGACTGAGTCAGACGCCGAGATAACAGAGGAAATTATTTTACAAAAACTAGATGAGCTGTAGTATGTAGGCTAGCATTGGCAGAGCGTTTGTTTCCTGTACTTTTCTTTAATTGGTTGTTTTTATTGGAGGGGGGGGGGGGGGGGGGGGGGGGGGGGGGGTTTGCGAGTGCAAACGTATTTGGGCGAGTACGATCTGAACGTCACTTGCCCGAATGGCGAATCCTGAATAGAGTCATTTTATAGTGAATGAAATTGTTTTTGAGTGACAGCGTATAAAACTTCAAATAACTTTTTGCAAATGTCTGCGAATTTTGAGTGTTTTTCAATAAAAAAAAACAATATACCTCGAGGAGACGATAGCGAAACGAAACAACCAAATCAGTGAACGAGCGTGCGCGAATCTAGGGCGCATTCATTCATCGAAATATCGTACGTACCCCTGAGAAGTGTTCTCCGCGGATTTATTTGCCATTTTCAAAGCAATCTATTGGAGCAACTGCACGTGGCTCAACCTCCCTCGTCTGGCAGCTCCTTCCATTTGGTTCCGCGAATTCGAATTAGATTATTGTTATTTTATGACCTATTGTTTTTCTCGGAAAATAATAATTAGCGAAAGAGAAATAGCAGGAGTCTGGACGCTAGCTACGTTGGTGACCGCTGACTGAAGTAAAGGAGATTTTCAAAGATGGCGCGAAATGTTAGAGAGTGATGTGAACACATCACTATACTAAAATGGTTTGTTAGTCGTTTTGGTTCTCAGCGGCAGTCTTTTAACCGGTGTTCTAATTATAATTACATATATTTCTACGGGATATTCGATCGTTCTTCAGCCCTGCTTGGAAAGACAGCGAAGTAAGGCGCTTCGAAAGTACTAAATAAGCACGGCAAAGATTCTACTGCGATGTCATTATCGAAGCAAGATGTAGGAAAGAGCCGAACGGAAAGCAAGGTAAGTAATGGATTATGTGGCATTTGAGAGAGAAAGGTATTTGTGTTTTCAGGGAATTCGACTTCAGAGGTGACGGAGAAAAGATCTGCTATATCACAGCCCCTGTCTGACTGAATCGATCATCATGTGTATCTATGTACTCTGCAATTCGCATTCCCATCTATCTTCTCGGGGAGGGGGGCGGGGGAACACCTTATTTCGCCAAAGTTGGTATTTATTGCCATACATGGTAAAATTCCCTCTATCTTGAATCTTTTATTTAGCACATGGTAGATAATTTTACAACATGTTTTAACCAAGAGTTACATTCCACTACATATATCTAACCCAAGGTATCTTTCTGGACTGGAATGTGAGAAATGGTAAAGTACTGTGTGTTAACTAACTTTGTAGGTATAATTTTCAGTAGTTTGTCGGAGTATGTCAGGGTAGCTGAGTGAGGCTGATAAGTTACGATGTTTTGCCTTTTTTTTTTTTTTTTATCTTAAACAAGGTTGTAAAATGAAGCAATTTTGTCTTTGTCCTTTAACACCCAAGATCTGTTTGCTAATTCTCTCCTCTAATTGCTACACATTTCCTTGTACATTTGTGAGCCTGAAAGGCAGAGTGGACACTAACAGAAAACTGTTTGAACAGCAAAAATGCACAGATGACGAACAGAAACCATTCCAACAGATGTCGCAATACTTCGAATGGATGCTAATGTATTTTGAACATATATGCAAACTGTTCAACATTTTGTTGAACACTATGAACAGATTTTTTTAGGTGTTCAAATGGATGATGAACAGATAATGAACGGTTTACCTGTTCAAATGGATAACCATTAGTGTCTGTTTTGCTTTTAACAGTCACATTTGTTATAGGAATTTGTTGTTAGATCAAGATAACAACTTTTTCATTACTCTTCTGTTGGAAATTGTATGGATATTCTAGGAAGTTACTCGTTAGTTATGTGAGAGTTTAAGGGTTAAACAGTGTGATGTGATACACTGCCACCTAAATTTCACTCAAGTTTGAAATATTGTGAACATTAACATTCCCTAAAAATTTGTTCAAACTGCAGCTTACTAACTTTGCAGAGCAGTGGCAGTATGCAATACTAATGCCTTTTTCATGATTTTGACAAGTACTGGTTAATTTTCATTTATTCAGACTGAAGGGAAAATGAAATTGTTCATTAACTTGAAAGGTGATTGATAAAGAAACCTTGAGACTTCACCTTACTCAGACTATTTTTTCCACAAGCTTGGTGTAACCAACGCACCAGCAATAAGTTTTAGAGGAGTTTAATTTCCAGACAACTTGACTGAACTCTTCTTTTTACATGCCATTGTCAGTGTTTTCAAAGTAAAGTATTACAAACATAATACATCAAGAACAGAACAACTAATTAAAAGATTGGAAATAACATAGGAAATACAAATAACAAGAAATAGGTATAACATACTGTAGGCAATACTAATAACATAGCAAACATGGGTCACTTGATGAAAGAGCAATTAACCTGACGATTTTGGAATACGGCTGGCATAAGGATGTACTTGCAATTACATTTTAACTTGAGCTCACACCTTTTTCATTTGCATGATCCATGTGAAAGTTAAAATTATATGGATAGTTGTGCAGAGGGGGATTAGTTTCTATACCTGGTGTCTTCTCTTGATTTTCTGAGCTGAAAGAAAATGTCTTGTTAGAAAGTTGTGCTGCGAGGAACAACACCCCCCTTGATCTTATCCAATTCTGTTTGTTCTTCGTTGTCACTGAACCACATTGATCTGACATTTGTGTGAATGAAAATATGTAATTGTTAATTTACAGGGCAGGTTTATCAAGCAGTGAAGATGATGACATTGCCTGGAAACAAAAAATCAAAAGAAAATCAGAAGAGGAAGCAGACAGGAAAAAAAAAACCTTATTGACTCAGGTAATGTTTTGTGGTGAACATGAACAGATTTTGAGGCTCTACGCAAACTGTTACACCTGTTGGTAGTTATTCTCTACAGTGTCCTTGTCAATTCCCAATGTAATTTGCATCATTATGAAAACATTGTGTTAAAAGAATCACATAATTATATGGACAACATCACAATTATATCCTGACCTTATTTCTGAATTAATCGTACGTCTCTGTTAGATTCTGATGAAGATTCTTTTCCTCCAAAAATAAGGTATGTCATTTGTTTCTTGAATTTGGTTCCATTTTATACAGTTGTGGTTAAACTCTGACCCTAATATGTCACCCCTGAATCAAGAGTCAAGGAAATAATCACCAACTTTAGAAGCTCTTGATTATTAAACAAATTCTCCTTGTCAGCACCTTAGAAAATGCCTAGAGAACAGTATGGAGAATATGGATACTGATGTCAGGTTGTATTCAGTACCTTGTTCTCTATCACTCATCTCTGTTCAGAAAAGCCACATCAGTAAAGAAGGAGGAGAGTTCAAAAGCTAAGAAAAATAGAAGACCAATCAGCTTAGATTCAGGTAAGGAAATAATGTACACTTATTGTGGGTACCCTATACTTTTTATGTGAAGGGTGATTGGGAGATTTTATTTTCATAGGAATCATGATTTCAATTTTTTTTTTGTATCTTTTTTTTGTTTTTGTTTCATGAATTGTGATTAAAGATGATAAGATCTTTCCATGTCCATGTGAACAATTTTTTCTTTATTTAAACATAACCTATGAATGGAGAATGAAATGAATTAAATGTGATTGGCAAACCATTTTGTTTACCTGACAAATTTTGGGCTATTTCAAAGAGCCAAACTTGTAGAATTAACAGCTATGTCAATGGGTAAGAAAGAGTGAAAATTTTAATTTGTGAATTTGGTTTAATTCTCTTTTTTTTTGGTTTTATTTATATTCAAAACATGATCATCTTGAATTTCATGTGAACATGGAAGAATTATGAATATTTATCATGATGCATGAAAAGGCCTACTATTTTTATGTGACTGAGGTCTATAAAAGGGTTTAGGGGACTCTCTTTATTGATGAAGTGAGAGGGCTGGATAGGGAAAATATTTAGTGTGAGGTGAGCTTGAGGTAATATGAGGTCAGTTTTTTACATCATCTGACCTTTAACCTTGCTTATGCATTTGCTTGCTGAAGAAAACAAAGCCATCCACTTCATCCAGGGTTCAGCACAATTACCATTAGACCACTCTGCCTTCAATTGGTTTGAATATTATAGCCCTTGAGTTACATTGTGATGTGGTTTCTATAGATGAGGAAGAAGTTGTGCCCAGGAAATTAAAAAAGTCTACCAAACAGACAGAAAATGTAGCTTCTAAAGAGGTCCAGCAAGTTAAAGAGAGGTATCATCCATCATTCTCTTTCATGATATTTTACATTTCAGTACTAAACCATGGTGTTCATTTAGAACATAAGATATTACTGTGGAGAATCTTCTGGCTTCTTCTAAAAATATCCAGCTAAATTTTGTTTGTCTGTCTGTTTGTTTGTTTGTTTGTTTGTTTTTTTTTCTCTCTTCCGTCAGGCATTGAGAATGTTAGATCTGTCATAGGACACTGCTCTTATGCCGATACATTCAACCTGTTGACCCCTAGAGTGACCAGCTTCTAATTTCTCCTTACAATATCATCCCTGAATCAAACATTAAGGTCATGAGAGTAAAGGAAATGATCACCAACTAAGCTCTTTTTTGTTAAACAAATTCTCCATGTCAGTACCTTAGGAAATGTATAGAGAACAGTATGGAGAATATGCATACTGAGTTTCAGGTGTTAAGGGTTGAAAACAAAAAACAAACAAACAAACAACAGCAAAATAATAAAGACAGTGTTACACAGCCATCAAGGGTGAATTTAACACAATATTGTTGTGGAACTAAAATATTTAACACATGGATTGTTATTCTTGCTTCAGTCCAGTCGAGCCTAAAGAGAAAAAAGCAACTTCTGCACTTGATTTCTTTGGTTCTACTTCAGTTGAAAGGGAATCCAGGAAAACATTTGCCAAAAGAGAAAACAGGTGAATAAACAACTTCTCTTTTTTTGCCCACAATTTTTTTTTAAAGAAAAAATCAGGCATCCTGTGTATTTTTAACAGTACTTCATGCATCATGCATTGAACAGGAAAAACTTTAAACCTCACCATACCTTGCCTTTCTATAAAATTCATGCATCACATGTTAATTTTTGGGCATAATCAAGTATTCCTTGTAAACCCTCTGCCAATCTGTTATGGTTATATCAGGATGAACTACAGTGAACACATACCACATCACAAAATTAATGGGCAATGACTAATTGAGGAATAGTTTTGGCAAAAACGATACCATTGGCCTCCTTAAAGGGGTGAGTCCTTTCACCTCTAAGATATTTAAATCAATTCTCTTTGCTGTCTGTCACACAAGTGTTATGACAATATCTTTGAGAATATGGTGTTCACTCAAACGGTATCTTCTGGTCTGATGATTTTCTTTCTTCTCTTTAAATTGCTGCTTGACTGTGAATTGTTATTGTTACAAGAAATTAGAAAATTAATAAATCTTGAGAGTGCCAATTTTAAGCTTGATCCAGAGCTCAGCCCACTTAATGATTGTACCTTGATTCCCTGTAGAACCATCAAGAATTTTTTTCCATTTCACTCAGAGATCTGATGAGTCTGAAGAAAATGAAGACTCCAAAGTGAATAGAGAAGAAGAGTACAAGAATGGGAGAGAAAAAGAAGGAAGAGAAAATCGGAATGTCAACTGTCACACAACGAGCAACCATCAAAGAAAAGAAAGGAAGACCTTCCAGAATCAAAGTCTGAGGTTAAAAAGCCTTCCCCTGAGAAGAAAAAGGTTTGTAAGCCTTTTGATCACCATCCTTTATTGTTCCAGAATTAATCAGTAAATATTAATGCTTAAACGTGCCACCCTGATACTAGAATTGATTGGATCTGATATGATTGCATGTGTATGGTATGTATCTTTAAGCACTTGAATAAGGTACTTGAAGATGAAACAGTAACATTTTATGACTAAATTTGGCTTTGTATAAGATCCAAAAGCTTACTCAAACTTGTTAACTGGTGGTACATCTCAGTTGTATATGTAAACCTGTCCTACTATGAAATTAGATGGTTTTTACTCAGATGCACATTGCTAACAATACTTGCAACAAAACATTACTTTCAATACTATAACCACTCAAAATACAACCATTACTGTACCTAGAATTTACACTAAACAGTAACTGTGGTGACAAAACTTTTAGGTACATTCTTGGTGATTTTAACTTTGACAATCCAGGAAGATGCTGCCATTTTGTCTCCATTTTTCAAAGCAGCAGTGCCTTTCGCTATCAACATTCCAATTTGGGACAACTCTTGCCTTGTTAGGACAACTCTCAGCTTTTAGAATGTTTGATATACTTGTAACTTTTGTTCACTTCAAATTTTATCCATGGACTTTTCAGGAAGTACCAAAGACAACTCCCATTAGCAAACTGGCTGCCAAAGCTGCCACGGTTCCAGAAACTCCAGTTAGAGACTCAAAACCAAGTCCAAAGAAAACTGTTACTCCGAAAAAGGATAAAAAAGATGTTGATAAGGAAACTCCAATCAAAGGAACACCAAAGGTGTCAAAATCAGAGGAAGTG